GAGCACAGGGAGCTTTGGGGGCCAGCTGGCTCCTCATGGCCAGGCGGGCGTTAAAAACGCCAGCTAACAGGAGACGGAGGGGGATAGGGAGCCCACAGCCCGGCTGCCGTGACGCGAGGAAGGGAGAGTGCCACTGATTGCTTCTGAGTGGGGAGCTCGGCTCGCTTGCCAAACAGGAGACTCACAGGGCAGGGCAGCTGGGGTGTGCAGGGGACCCCAGAGCCTGTGGACACATTCGCAGTACACAAGTGGGAGCAAAGCTCCCCCTCATGGCGTGTGAGTACGGCACCAGCCCGCATCCCGAACTCCCAAAACTTGCTCCAGTGCAGTCCCGAAAGCCATGGGGCCGGAGCAGCTTCCACAGGCTGAAGGCAGGGTCCTGGCCAGCTACTTCAGGGATGGCGCAGACTCATTGTATGGCACTTAGGACACTCCAGGCACCCCTCAGACAACAGCCCCCCCAGTACTGCATGAGGATGGCTGGGTCACACGCCTGTTTTCAGTCCCCACACTGGAGGTTAGTTTATTTTTAGACAATTTATGATGTGAGAAAGTACACTGCCAAACCCAGAGAGCAGGGAGCAAACGGCACCTGCTGGGGGGAAGGGGGATATGGCTGCTCTGAGTCTGCCCTCACCAAGCTAGGGAAGGGGAATTGGATACAAGCACAAAAGCTCCCCAGGCTGGGCAAGAAGAGAAGGAGGAGAGTGCTCCAGAATGGGCCCCCTACTCTCTGCCTGGCGGAGGTGGATTCCCTAGGGGAGCAGGAGGAAGAGACTGCGATTTAACAGAGTTAAAGTAGGTTCCTGCTCTATTTATAGCTCTTGTGCTCCACTTTCCCCAGCCTTGAGCAGCTCAGCAGGTCTGCATCCTGTCCTGTGAGCACGGGGCAGTGCTCGCTAAACCACCTGAGAGCAGGCGCTGACAGGAGAGTCTGGTCAGACACCTGCTGCCTTCCCTCCTCTCTGGGCTCATCTGCCTCAGGGCTGGATCGAAAGCTACTAACAGCAAAGGGAGCCCTGGATTCCCAGACCCCATGGGAGCGCAGCCCTCCCCCTACAGGGCCCCATCCCTGGGGTTTGGAGTCACTGACAGGTTCCCGCATCACTTGGACACGAAGCAGACACATGCAGAGAGTGGCTCCAAGCTGGAAAGGAACATGGGCCTGCAGGTGGATTTAGGAACACAGGCCATAAGACTGGAAAGGACCTGCTGTGCCATGGAGTCCAGTCCCCGGCTATTGCATACAATCCCCTTATATAATCCCTTTAATAAATTTACCAAGCTCCAGCTTCAAACTAGGTAGGGTGTTTGCCCCCCCACTACTCTTATTGGGCGGCTGGTCCAGAACTTCACTCCTCTGAGGTTAGAAACCTTCTTCGCATCTCCAGTCTAGATGTATTCCTGTGTTCTTGTGCCAACACTGTCTTCTAGCTTCAGCAGCTCTTCTCGCTCCCTGGTGTATTTATCGAGAGCAAGCAGATCCCCTCTCAGCCTGCATAGGGTGAACAAGCCAAGATCTTTTATTCTCCATTCCTAACAGGCTCTTCCTTCCCCTGATCCTCTTAGCAACCGTCCTCAGCACCTGCTCCAGTCTGAATTCATCGGTCTTGAACCTGAGTGACCAGAACAGTACACACTATTCCAGAAGAGGTCTCACCGGTGCCTGATACAACAGCATTAATACCTGCCTATCGCTACTGAAAATATATCTTGCCCGATACATCCTTGGATCACACTGAGATGGGCCCTGTTTTCTTACCATCCCGTTCCTTATGCTGCGGAGCATCGTTCATTTCCTGCAGTGTTGGAGCCGGGCAGGAAACGGTTTTCCCACCTTGTGAAAATGTTATTTCAAAACTAGCCTGTTCTGCACCAGGACGGAACAGAGACCTTTTGAACTGTTCACTAAAAGAGATCAAGATCCCAGAACAGCCAGTAGCCACTGTGTGAGTGTCTCTCATGTGATCCTGGACCTCAAATCGTTCTCTGCAAAATCATCATCAAAACTGGTACGTTCCCCACAAAAAGTGCCACTTTCAACCAATCTGCATTTTCTAATGAAAAACAATGTCAAACTCCTGAGCAGCTGTACACAGTATATCACCCCGGGGCCAATCTTCCAGACTCAGAATGGGAGGATTTGGCAGTGCTCGTCCTGTGCTCCAGAATCTCCACTTTCTTTCTAAAAGACAGAGCGGATCTCCAGCCCTTAGGGTGGTGGAGAAACCCTTCAGAACCTGACCCAAGTACAAACGAATGCTGCAATGCCTGCCTGAATCTGCAGAGAGCCTGGAATAGCTCTGAGGGTGAACTGCCTCATTCAGCCCAGGGGGCATTAATTCAGCTGCCCAGTTGAAGTGTCCGCATAGCAATTACTTGTTTCACCGCTGATCAATACCCACACGGAAGGAGAGGATCCTGTTGTGAAGCTCTAGCTACACAAAGGATTGTGGGTGACCTCTTGTGTTGTCACGGTAAGCGGCGTGGGAGACAGCACCACTTATCCTTCCCCCCAGCTCGGAGCCCAGCAGAGCCCATGTGACCATATTTTAAATGTCAACACAATCTCCTGACAGGCATCTCATTTTGGCACCACAAATGGGTGGGCTGTGGAAGAATACCAATGCCTCCGGGCCCCCATTCAACACCTGAGCCGTGCCTGACAGCTCCTGGGGGTTTCTTTGCCCCACCAGCATGCCACTAATGGAGACGTGTGGGAATGGAGCAGGGCTGCCCGCCCACAGGGCCATTGCAAAGGCTGCTCCCAGCCACCTGGCTCCTGTAGGCACCGACTAGCGCAGGGAGCTCTTTCCTTCTGCATGATTCATTAGCAGACACGGAGATCACAGGCCTAGCCCTACCCACAGAGCACCCCACTGACATGAGAGCAGGGGCTCCGTGAACACAGCCCACCGCAGCGTCTCCGAAAGGGATTCTGTGCAGCAGGTACTCGACACTTCCGCAGCCACTGAGCTCCCATCCCGCCCCCGAAAGCCTGGCAGCCGTCCAACTGCACGGCAGGGGTCTGTGCTGGCCTCTGAACGCAGAGGAGAGGGGGTCGCACCCGCACACAGGCTGTTCTTATCCAGCACCCAGAAACTGACCTGCTTGGTATCTCTTAGTGCCGCCCCATTTTACAAGAAAGCCTTTTATTTAAATTAAATTCTTCCCCCGTCTCCCTCTGTCTCTTCCTGGCGATGCACTGACTACCCTCCAAGGTTTGATTTATTAGAGATCGCAGCTATTTTACACGTATTTGATTTCAGAAAGCAGACAAGCGGACAGAGTACATGAGATATTGCACTTCTGTAGAACCAACAGCAGCAGCTGATTTCAGGACAGCGATGGAGCAAATGATGGGTAGTAGGACTGTGATCACAGAGGCAGTGGAGTGGCCACCTGGAGTGCAATCGGTCAGATAACAGACCACACAAGTTGTGAAGGTCCCTTCACCTTAGCAATAGTTTATACAATGAGTTGGGAATTTCATGTTTTCTGATTGGCTAGGGCCCCAGCCTCCCAACCCAGCCAGGTATGGGATGTTCACACAGACTAAAGCCATCAGGCAGGTTGGGTTATTGCTGGTGTATCTCACAGCTGGAAATAGATAGAAGCACAATGGGACTTTTTGATCCTCCAACAGCCAGCAAGAAGAGTTTTACCCCTCGGCCAGGTTCAGCACTTCTTCCGGACACAACCACCCCACTGAAGTCAAGCAACAGATTGATCAATTATTAGCCCCAAAATCGGACCAGGGCAGCCCGCTTGCATGGCCACACACCCTGTTCTGCTATTCTACAGGGGCTAGTCTTGTAAAGAAAACCCACAGGCAGTGATCGGTGTGCTAGGCAGAGCCCCCCCCTCCTCAGGGATAAACCAACCCCCAACCCTCCCGGCTACATGACAACCCTCCCGGGGTCTCTGAGGCAGGGGAGAGGCAGGGATGGGGAGTGGGGAGCAAGGGGAATGAATAGGACACAGACCAGTCCAAGTGAGGCGGCTGTGGGGAGCAGGAGCTGGGGGAGCAGCTGATGATCGTGGGGTGGGCAGACACACCCCAGATACGAACCCAGGGGCCAGCGCCCAGCCCCTCACGTTCTACCATAGGCCTGAGGGGCCCAGCCCAACCCCAGCCCCCCTGGGCTGCATCTCTGGCCCCCGCAACGGGCTCCCTGGGGGTGACAGGGTCACTCGGGCCAGGTCCCCTGAGGCGCTGCGCACCCCCAGCCGCTCAGCGCCCCGAGAGCCCGGCCCGAGCCTGCCTCCTCTGAGGGGCAGCACCCTGCACTAGCGCTCTTGCCTGGGGAAGGGGAAGCCAGGACTGGGCTCTCCCAGTGGGCGACGGGTCCCGATCCTTGGCAGGGGTCACCCTCAGCGTCCCCCCGCGGGGAGCCCCCTACAGCCCAGCGCGATTCCCGCCCCCCAGCCGGGGGAGCCGCCGAGGCGCTAGTGGCAGGGGGGCTGGGATGGGGAGACGGCGGGAGACAGGGCCGGGTTCCCCGTCGCAATCCAGCACACGCGGGGCCCCAGAACAACGCCCCCCCCCCAGCCCCTCAGGGGTCCGTAGCGCAGGGGCGCTGAGGGATCCGGCCCTCGCCCAGCTCCAGGGGCTGCACGGACCCCGCTTCCCACGGCCAAGCCGGGCTCACGGGGCAGCGAGCCCAGAGGCACCCCGGGCTCGCCCCTCCGCCCCTTCCCGGGTGCTGGGCGGGTCGCCAGCGGGGCGCGGAGCTGCTCTACCAGTCCCCTCGGGTCCGGGCAGGGGCACCAGGGGTGCAAGGGCCGTTCCTCGGGGACCGGACAGGACATCGGAGCGAGCGGACCCGGGGTCACAGGGATCGCCGGGTCCGGCGGGGCGGCCACCAACTCAAACCTTCCCGGGGAACGGGGCCCCCGGCCGCAGGGTCCCTGCGCCGCCTCTGCCGCAGCCCCCGCCCGGCCCCCCGCAGCCCGCCCGCGCCCCGCGGAGCCGGGCAGGACCCGGGGGCGGCGCTCACCTGTACCACTCCAGCCCGCGCTCGTAGTGCCGGTCGAAGAAGTGGGGCTCGGTGCCCACGGCGCGCACCTCGGGGTGCACCCGGATAAACTCCAGCACGGCGCGGGTGCCGCCCTTCTTCACCCCCACGATGAGGGCCTGCGGGAGCCGCTTGCTGCCCAGCT